AGGCAAATCTGCTGCATAAAACCTCTTTGAAGTGTTCAAGAATAAAGATATCCGTTTGAGGACTAAGATTTGCCTGACCCACCCAACCCATGGTATTTTCAATAGCCTCATATGCATGTGAAAGTTGGAATAAGGAAGACTTTAGAATTGATGCATTCGATTTATGGTGTTGAAGAAAAATATTAAAAGTATCATGAACTGCCAGAAGAATAAACAAATCTGTGTTGGAAGAAGTACAGCCAGAATGCCCCTTAGAACAGGTTAGCAAGCCTTTATCTTTCATGCTTTGGACATGTTATCAGGAGCAACCAGCCCCTGGAGAATGACATCATGCTTGGTAAAGTGGAGGGTCAGCAAAAAAGAGAAATACCCTCAACAAAATGGATTGGCACAGTGGTAGTAGCAATGAGCTCAAGTGTAACAGCACCTATGAGGATGCTCAGGACTGGGCAGTGTTTCGTTCTGTTGTGCATAGGGTAGGTATCAGTTGGAACTGATTGGAAGGCACCTAGCTACAACAACGTCCATTCTGATTCACATGTATTAGAGAATTGTGGTCCATAGGCTGATCTTTTCAGAAAGAAGAAAATCAAAATCGTCTTGATTTTCTTCAGAGGCACATGTAGATAACTTCAATCTCCAACCTTTAACAGCCTAAAGCGTTAACCCTTTGTACCACCCAGAAACTCCTTCCTGCTAGCTAGAAAATCCTTGATGCCTAGCATTGCACAAAGTAGGTAAGAACCGGCAAAGGGTGTTTGAAGAGTAAATGGAAGGAATGAAGGAATATCGAATGGGAGGGTGGGTGTACAGGGTACACAGGGGCTCTCTGAAAAGTTGGTCTAGGGGCTTCTGGCGAAGAGGAGGTATGGGCTTTGCTCTGTTTCACTCAGTCCACATTTCATTCCATCCTCCAGTATAAGGAAGTAAGGAGCCTGAGGCAGGACGTCCTGGACTGAGGGTGCTGGGCCTCAGGCAAAGGAAGCAGAGCGTGGGGGGCCCAGGCAGAAGACACATCAGGTTTCTTGAGGCCCAGGGTGCACAGAACGTGGGTGACCAAAGTGCTGGACGTCTGGGCGTGGGGAACCCGAAGCACTAGGTGCACAAAAGCATGGGTACCTAGAGAATCCTGGTAGTAGGGATCCTAAAGTGCAGGGTACCCAGAACGTGGGGTTCCCTAGGCCCTAGAAGCCCAGGGAATGGGGTGGGGGTGGTCCGGAGACGCAGATACCAGCGGGTGTGGTGCAGGACGCCCAGGCGAAGTCTACGCGCGCGCGCGCGCGCGCACGCATTGGCTCCCAGAGTCAGGCTGCAGGCACGGTTTCCACTGCGGCTGCGCAGCTGAGGAGCTTGGGGTCTTTGGGGCCCGTAAGGGGGTACTTTGAACGTCCCCAGCTTCTCTCCACCCTTTACTTCAAGAGATGCCTCCCACCCCCGCCTATGATAGCTGAACACGGAGCCTGGCGGTGCTGGGGAACCAATCCCAGTGTGACCCTGCAACTGCTGGGGTGGGGGGCGGCGGGGAGGCGCTTTCTGGTCATGGGCAATGGAGTAGGGGGGAGCGGGGAAGAGGTCACTTGAACTGACTAGGTTGGGGTTCTGGCAGTGAGTTTTCAAAACTGAGCCGGGGTCCCTAAAGGAAACATCTCCTCCCCCTAATATAAATAAAGGAGAGAGCAAATTAAAGCACCCTTCTAACCCGCAAACTGTTGGGGTAGTTGGTTGGACAACTCAGAGATAGAGTTGGGAGGAGGCTTGGAGCCAGAGGACCGTTGTCTTGCTTAGCTTTCCCTGGTTTCTGTCTCCCTTTCACACTTGCTGGGTTTATAAGAAGTTTGCAGCCTGAATGTGCGTGGTGGTGGTGGTCCTGGTTACCCAGGAGCCACCACACCCATTTGGCAGCACCCCCCAGAGGCCTCTGTGGGCCCTACCAAGTGCTCTTGATATCTCAGTGGAAACCGAGGCCTGGAGAGGTTGGATCCTTCAGTCCAGTTCACCCACTACCCCATAAACAAGGTAAGCACGGTTTTACTTGTGCTTGCTTCAAGGTAAACCCCGTGCTTGCCTTGTTTACTGGGTAATCTGCCCCTGCTCACAGTCAACACTGTTATCCTCTGTATGCCCACCAACCATTCCATACCCTCCTCTGCCTCTGGACCCTGTTCACCTGGATTCAAGTACAGAGCTGAGCTCTTTAGGCCATGGAATGCTGGGTGTGATGGGGGACTCAAAGTAGCCCACTTGTCCCCTCAGCCCTGAGGTCTTGGGGCCAGATTTGGTGCTGATTCTGGACTGTGGGTGATGTCCTGGATCCAACAGATGATCATGGAGGTCAAGTCAGCCTTTGGTCACCTAGTCTGCCAAAAAGTCTGGCATCCTCACCTCTTCTCTGGGTCCAATCACCAAACCAAGCAAGGGGGGGGGGGACTGGGGGGTAAGTAATTCACATAGTTTTAGTCACGGTTCGTTTGGGCCCTCTTCCTTAATCCCCTTGGAACAGACAGGGATTCTTGAAGGCCAAAATAATTCCCTTGCAGATACCCAGTCCAGGCTTTTTAGATGCTCACAGTCCCCATCCAAACCAGCCCAATCTTTCTGTATTGACCACCCTGACTCTGACTCCTGCAGACTTTCCCTTTTCCTCTCCAAGAGCCAAACTTGAGTAGCAATAGATTTTCTTACCTAGATACAGAGACCAAGTTTTACCCTCTCCCCGCATCCTCAGCTCATTCCTTTCCAGTAGAATCCACATCAGGATTTGTCTCTGCCCTACCCCACCAAGCCACTACCCCCACCACACCCCACTAATGCTGACTTCTGGTGTGCAAAGATTCAGCCTAGACTTTGCGTGTGCTGGCTGGCAGCTTTTATATTTAGGCCTCATTTGGAATGGATCCCTTCCCCGGACATCCAAGGCCAGGTTTTGCTCCTCCCTCTACATCAATCTTAGCGTTGCGTCAGTTTTCCATAAAATGGAGCCTGTAGCCTGGCTTCCAGGTCCAGTCTCGGGCGATCCTAACCGGATCTTTCCTCTCAGCGCCCCTGCCCCTCCCCCCAGGATTCTCCCTCCTCCCGTTCTCCCCTTCCCCTATCCCCCACCCACATCCCTGCACTGAGTTGTCTCTTCTGCGGAAGGGCCTATTTTCGGCCTGGGGCCCAGATTTCATATCCCCCGTTGTGGGTCTTGGCAGTCATAGCCCCAGCTCTGGGTCTCCAAGCCAAGTCAGACAGCCTTCCACTCCCCAGAAAGGGATGCGGGGCTCCCTCTGCAAGCTCAGCCCGAAACCTGCCACTCGTCACACCCTGAGCCAGATGCCTAGTATCCAAACCAGCTCCTTGTCCTACTTCTGCAAGTCCATCAACTGTCAATTATTTGGTAGGCAGTGAAAAATCCATACCGTGTTTTTGCTCTTGCCGAGAACCTAAAATTCAATTTATTTCTCTTTTACCCCTAAAGGGAGGCGTTCGAGGCGTTTATAGATACTATCCTCCCCCTAACACCCACCTACTCCTACCGCCTCTGCTGTGCGGTCAGCTCCAAGTGCCCGTTCAATTGCACTTAACTCTTCTGCTGGGCCTCTTCCGTCCCAAGTACTCCAGTCCTGGCTTTACGTCCTTCCCTTCCTTTTATTGTAGGTCTCGTCTCCCAGGATAGCGGCCTCCTCATTGCATTCCCTTCGCATCGCCGCTGGAATCCAGATACCGCTTTTACCTGGCCACTCCCTGTGCAGTCAGTCGTTCCGGATCCATTCATGCTAGATTCCAGCCCTCTTTTTTACCGTCCCCCTTGCACGTTGCTGCCAGGAAGATAAGGGCAGCCCACGCTACCTCACCCACTATGTAGCCCCCTTCCTTAGCCCCTTGTGAGCCCAGTTCCTGAGAATGCGATGCCGGGTCTTACTTGTTCTCATTGCTTTTGGCATGACGCATTACTCCGTCTCCCGAGGAAGAATCCGGCCCGAAATTTGCGTGCCCCGGGTGCAGTTGGCCTTGTCGCAGCTTTCCCCAACTCCCACCTCCTCTATCTGATCCGCTCCGGGTTTTGCACGCCCCTTCCCGATCTCCCCATTCCCCCACCCCGGGCTTGGCACTTTTCCTTTATTTCAATCCGTTCCGGGTTTTTGTGCGCCCTTACCCTCCCCCATACCTCATTCACTCGCGGGTATAGGGCTCGTCGTCGTCGTCTCTCCGTTTGCCAAGAAGGCTAGAGAAGACGAAAGCACGGAAACTCCATCCCGGGTTTTGGGGCTGCCCACGGTGCGCCCAGGCAGGTTGCAGAGGCCGGTCCCGGGCGACCGTTCCGGGTCGGGTTTTACGCGCGTCTGCGCCCCCTCCCGGAGCGGGTGCGCTGGGGAGCGGGGCGAGCAGGCGGCTTGTCATTGCTGGTGCCCGGCGCCGGCTTGGTCCGCGCGTCCTGCGGTGCCCACGGCCAGGCGCCCCCCCCTCCGG